CGCGTGGAATTCAAACTGTGAAGTTCACTGGGTGTTTGTAAGTAGTCCCATCACTGGTGAGTTATGATCTGAACAATGAAGTCCCAAGACGCTTTGAACGTGTACTACGCGGATTGGTGAGCATGGACGGCATTCCATTATCAACACCAATTTACGCATGTTTTGTGAAAGGGTGGTATGGATGATGGCAGGGCTAGAGCCTTTACCAGACCTATGCTTAGGCTAAAGGAGTAGCACCGTGAGAGTAAGCCCACGTCAGAACCAATGTTGTGAGAATGGCGAACAAAGGCTGGAGCCTACGGAGGCCTACACCCGAGAGTAGCCACGCGGCCGTCATGCACAAGCATGTCAACCACGAGCCACCATCTATCCCACTATGCATGGAAGGATCGAGAAACCAGTGACACCTATCATGCATCCACCCTTAGAAGGCCCTTCGGAAAAAGTGAGTGCATCGCTTAGAAAGGTTTGGTTTTTTACTCCAAAAGTCTAGATTATAAATTCCTTAGGAGATCTAGGGAGTGGTCTAAGTGGCTTCAACCCGAGTCTTCAATTTAAGGGTGAATTCCTGTAAGCATAGGATGCTAACATGTGTTTTGCAAGAATTGTATGTACTAATTCTTGTGATGCAGAAGGAAGGAGGATGAATATGATGAGTGTTTATCTTGTGCGAAGTTAGTTAGAAGCGTCTAGATAAATGATATCATGATAGTCAAACCCATGTGATGCGCCCCTCTGTGTAGTGGTCAGATTTCTTTTAAACAGATTAGTTCAAAGCATATTTGCCAATAAGCTAGCCAAGTAACCGAGAAGTAATTCTCAAAAAAAAATTATCATATTAGATAGTATAATACGGGAAACTATAAGGTATAACACAGAAGCTGACATTAATATGTTGAAGTAACGCTTCCTATGTTCTTATTAACAAACTAGCATTTTTATTCTATACATTTACTCTTTATCCTTCCAAAAAAATTGATAATGGCTAATGTACAAGATTTGGTTTCTGACACATCTCTCTCTTCTTTCTCTCGTTGATCATTAGAATCAAGAAATGTGAAATCAAGAAATGTGAAATGAAAATCCTTCTCTCTCTTTTCTCATCTTAAATGTAACGATCAGTTTTTTAAACCAGATTCGTTTGTTATTTAAATCCGAGCTGAAACGGCTTAATATTTTTTAATTCTGATAATGAATCTATTCTTAAAAGGATTTTTTTCATAATTATCTTTCTTTTTCATATTTATTTTTTGCTTTATGACCAAATTTTTCATTAGGTATAAATAGAGAATCATTCTTTTCATAATTCTTTTCTAAAAGTTCTAAAGAAGTAGAAAAATTATAATTTGTCTCTCTTCTTCCCTTTGGACGTTTTGTCCTATCTCTGCTGCCTTTTCTCTTTATCTTTCTTCTTCGGATGTTCCCCTCTCTCTTTGGCGCCACCATGGTATTCCGACGATCCACTGCGATTCCGGTAAGGTGTTTGAAGCTCTCCAGCCATGCATGTTCAGCTACCGTTTGGATCTGTCGTCTCCAGCTGCCATGTTCCCCTCTCTCTTTGGCGCCACCATGGTATTTGGACGAGCCACTGCGATTCCGGTAAGGTGTTTGAAGCTCTCCAGCCATGCGTGTTCAGCTACCGCTTGGATCTGTCATCTCCAGCCGCCACGATGTCTACGCCGCGAGTTTCCTTCTTCTTTTCCCTCAAACCGTTGTGCTATTAAGGTCAAGATGACAATGAATCTGTGCTTGAATATTATGTGTCCTGCTTTTCTGAATGCCTAGTTTGAGGTTAAACCAAACATAAATTATTTTTTTCTTTAGAACTGAGTCTCAGTTAGGTCTGAATAGGATGTTGTATGATTTGTGATCGCCTAGATGTGTTTAGGATTTTGAAAGTGAAACTACAGAGACTTAAAACGAACATTACTTGTGTTTGAAACGCCTTGATTGTTTGTTTGCTGTTTGGATCTCTTGTGTGATGATTGTGTGATCGCCTAGTACTTGTAAAGAAGACATGGACTTAATTATTGAGATTGTGAAATGTCTGAGATTAAAGTTGAGATCATAAGGTAGAGGAGCCGTGATCAATATACTTGAGTGGAGGACTATTGTGTGGGTCCGAAATGGATGGCTGAGATTGCATTGCTGGGGCTGTAATCAATATACCGAATTGAGGATAGTCGATGAGCCACATGAGCAATATGCAAGGGGGTACTGAGGAACATGACGCCATCGGACCGGTATGAGGTACCGCGTTCCCGTGTGGATTGGCGACATTTGGTTGTTGAGAAACTAGCGTGTTCCATGGCAGTTGGCTGACGAGCTAGTCGTCGACTACGACTTAAAAAGAATAGCGGATGGTGCAGTTATAACGTCATGCGTAAGTCACCCGGAGTTCGCAGATGGGGTCAGTGGAGCTGGCATCTGGTTTTCGTAGGATATTGTGTGAAGTTTTTAGGACTTTCTGTGGTGCTGTTTTAGGTTTGAACTTAGCGTTTGTTAAGTTGTGGTGCATTGATAAGATAGTGTAGGTTCATTTTCCTGGATAATCTAAATTACTCATCTCTCTATCTTATCTTCTCTCTCTCGATCTCTCTAGCAGGTCAGGTGAGTCAAGATGCTTGACTGTCGCATGTGGTGTGTCGGATTCTGGGACATGTAAAAAGAATAATATGTTTGACTTTAAGCGTATACAGTTATTTTGACATTGACTGATTCGATTATATGATCGGGATTGGATGTCACATTAAAATCAAGAAAAATGAAATTAATATCAAATAAGAAATTGGTTCCATATTCTCAAGGTTAAAACTTGATAACCTACTCAAAACTTGCAATGTTTTAGCGAATCAACTAAGATTTAACATATGTCTAAGAAATAGAAAGTGACAATATCCGACAAAGAAAAGATTGAACAAAACAAAAATGACATGTAAAAAAGTTTGAAAACACGAACGAAAAAGATGAACAATATTTTTACATGCTTAATATATGAAAATTTATAAAGTTTTTAAAACTATGGGAATGTTTTTAAAAGGTTTTTCAAAAAATACATGTTATAAAGTTGTTACAAGAATTAGTTTGGGTTCATTATCCTTTAGGAAGGGGTTTCTGTTTTTAGATTTTAGTGTTTAATTAGAGTTTAGATTTTAAGGTTTAGAGGTTAAATTTTAAGATTTAGGGTTTAGATTTTCATGTTTAGAGTATAGTTTTGATTGTTTGAAGGTTGAAGTTATGTATTAGATTATGATTTATTACAAATTTTAATATATTTTTTTAAAATAGAGTTACAAGAAAATTTTTTTTATATATATTAATATTAACAAGTTTCTAGTAGTAAGAAGGTCTTTGTATTGTTTTACTCGTCGACCAAATTTTTTTATAACACAAAATGTTAATGTATCTATCAATATGTCGAAAAGGCTAACTTTTAAAATTTATATTAATCTCTATAACAATGGGGAGGATTAGCCTGATTGCCGAAAAAGGTAAAAATGTCCACAAAATGTTTTCAGAAAGTGTTATTTTTCATATTTTTCAGTTAAACGTGTTAGAAAGTTAGTGGATGATATAGGGAAAAAAAAACCATTCTATGCCCGTACAAGAAATATTCCTTTGTGTAGTTAATAATTTGTTTGAATATTAAATAGAAAAGAGGTTGATGGAAAACGTGACTTGATTAGGCGTTTCCAAGCAAGTGCATATAATACTAAAACAGAAAAGGCGTCTCTATATGTAATCTCAAAGTCACCTTCAGTTTTCGCAATAAATCAAAACCTCAGTTCTTGATTCAAAGATTCAAAAGTGAAGAATGCAAGGGGATCTCACATCAGATAACTGCTCTTCGGTTCTGGATTCGATTCGCCGGCATCTGCTGGAGGATGACTCGGAGACTCTTCATTCTTCCTCCACCAGTCCTGATCTGGAATCCCCGAGGAGAAGAGGAGGAAACTTCAAAGGAGTGAGAAGAAGGCCTTGGGGAAAATACGCTGCGGAGATCAGAGACCCCAACAAGCATGGAGCTAGGATTTGGCTCGGCACATACGAGACTGCCCAGGAAGCAGCTCTGGCCTACGACCGAGCGGCTTTTAAGATGAGAGGGGCCAAGGCAAAGCTCAACTTCCCTCACCTCGTTGGCATTGATGGTCCGGAGCCGGCAAAGGTCACCAAGCGCCGCCTGAGTTCACCGGATTTAACCTCATGCTCGCCAGTAGCTAAAAGACGGAACACTGACATTATCAACCTAACCGCTAGAGTTCCTTGCCTTGCTTTCCATTATTTTTACCATATGACTCCATTGCCTGAGCAATTACGTTGAACAATTATTCATGTTTCCAGACACCAAGTTTTAATTTGCCCCATTAATCCAGCTTTGTTCTCTATTAATAGTCTTTGACTCTTTGTGCCAGTAAAAGCTAAAGAGAGAGGAAGAGAGAGGAAGAGAGAGGATTAAGGATTTGTATACAACACCAAATGTTTAGTTTTGCTGATATTGTAATATGATATCAATTTAATATAATTTTGTCAATTTATATCTTAAAAATCGTATTAAAGGAGGATGAAATATTTGTGATATTCATAAATTAATTTTTTAGTTGTGCGTTACTTAGGATGGTTACAACTTCTTAATTCGGTTATTTTCAGCTTGGCGAATTTATAGATGTCTGCATTTAGACTTCTAAGAGCTTGTTTAAAGGAAATTCAGAGATTATGTTCCGCTTTCTTGTGGTCAAGACCATTTGAATACCAAAAAGGCCAAAGATAGAATGGGAAGAAGAGTGTAGTTTTAGCAAAAACCTTTTTAAATTTTTTTTTGTCTTAGTCCAATTAAGTTCTCATGATCTCATATATCCTTTAGTTGACACTCTAAAAAGTAAACAGGCAATACATACACACATGTTGACATTTTTTTTTCTCTTTTTTTTGTTGGTTTAGTTACACACTTGTTCACTTTTAGGGAATAAAGATGAGAACTTAAGGAGGCTATACATGGTGGGATCAATCGACGGATATGCTTGGACTGATCTACCAATAATGTTTTAAGCTGAAGACAAATTAATATAGTATAATGAAAGAACATTATTATATGTGCATTGAAAACAGAGAAAATGTCTTCTTTGTATATATGAGTCATTTGGTTCGTCTCAACAGAAGAACATATAGAATAAGAGAGACAAAGTGAGAGAATAAGAAGAATGTGAAGATGCTTAGTTCTTCTTCTCCTCCATAGCATACAGAGCCTTAATCTCCTCTACATCGTCGTAGCTACCAAGAAATATCGGAGAACGCTCATGAATCTTCTCCGGGACAAGGTCTAGCGCCTGCATCATGACATTTTCGGTTAAACTACTTGAGCCGTTAAACCGTTAAACAACCAAAACTATTCAAAATTGCAATTTAAGGGTTGTGAAAGGATAATTTACCCTTTTCTTTCCCGTGAAGGCCTGACCTCCGGCTTGCTCCATCAAGAACGACATCGGGAAGACTTCATAGAGGACACTGTTCACATATGTAAGCCAAAACAATATGTGAAATGTCAGCGCCAACATTCCAAATTATTAAACTCAAAACAAGAAATACATTTCAATGTTTCATCCTAAGCTTACCGCAATTTCCCATTGGGGCTTTTCTTGTCCGCAGGGTACAAGAAGATTCCTCCATAAAGTAGCGTACGATGAACATCAGCTACCATACTGTTTAACACAATGAAGTTAACAAACGGGAGTCATAAGCATATCACTGAGCTTTAAAACAGAGAAGGTTCCCTTACAATTACCTTCCAACATATCTCAGAGACTTTGCAGGAGAACCATCGGTAGGAAACTTGCAGTTCTCTACGTACTTTGTAGTTGGACCATCCCAGTTCTGTGCATTGCCTTCATTCACTGAATAAATGTTTCCCTTTTTTGGTATCTGTGCACAAGAAGAGCTAAATGAATCTTGAGAAATTCATGAAAACAGAAATAAATAATGAAAGATCATGTTTATTGATTCCAGCTTCCCATTTACCTTAATGTCAGGGTGAGTTAATATGAACTCTCCTAGAGATGGGTCCAAGGTAAATCCGTGGACACCCGTTCCAGTGCTTAACACAAGCTGAGAGAGCCAAATCACATCAAATTAATACAAAGAAATAACAAATTTGGCTGATTGTTACTAATATTATCTTTGTGAACTTCATTTTTCAGTACCATGCAGGAGCTTCCGTACATACAATAACCCGCTGCGACCATTTCATTCCCGGGTTTCAGGACATCTTCTGTCGTTGGCTCATCAGTGTGGTTCATCGTGTAAATTCCAAAGATCTACACAAGAAACGAAACTTTCACATGACATATCTTCTGAGTTTTCTTTCACATGGTTAAAGAAAGCTTGGGGTCAGAGAAACATACTGTTCCAATGGAGACACCACAGTCAATGTTTGAAGATCCATCAAGTGGATCAAAAACAACACAGTACCTATTGATATCGCGAATAAGACTCGATTATGTTGATGACAATCACCAATACATGAATTACATTTTCATTACCAAAACCGAGAAGGGATCAATTGAAAAACTTACTTTCCACGCTTGGATGATTCCACAAACGTAGCTTCCTCATCTTCTTCGGAGACAAGAACAGACTGCCAAATGGTTTCAATTGCCAAAATAATTGTAAGTTGAGAAACGAATCAAATATATCTAAGCCTTCTCAAATTAATAGAAATGCTATATTTTTACTTACAGTTCTGCCACTGCTAACTAAAGCTTTGACAAAGACATCATTAGAGAGCACATCAAGTTTCTTTTGCTCTTCGCCCTATTATAAACAGACAACAAAAATCAAATCTCTGACACACAAAAAAAAAAAAACAAAGCTTTAAATTTGGACAAAAGACATAAACTTGCCTGGATATTTGTCTCCCCTGCAAGTCCAATTAGCTTAGCCAGACCAGCCTGCACACCAGAAAAAAGTTATGATTTTGACTCAATGGGCCAGCTTAAAACCCTAAAAGACGATTGAGACAACTCACATCTAAAGAGGATTCCAGATCATCAACCGAATTAAAAGCTTAAAAACCAAATCGAAAGCGACATTTTTTTTTCTTCTGGCACAATTTCAAAACCAACGAGATTTCACCTTATTGACTGCACTGCAGACGAATTTGCAGCCCAAAACGATGTTGCTGAGCAAAATCGTGAAATCCCCACGAGATTCTGGGTATTTTGATTGCTCATTCAACACGAATCTCGTTATTGTCATCAAATCCGTACGGTACGCATCTGCTTCGTGATCCATTTTTGCTTCTCTCTATCTCTTCTCTAACTTCTACGTAACCAAAATTTATAATCTGATATTTAGAGAGAGAAGAGATTGAATCTGCAATCTTTTAAACCCTATATTTGTGTGTTGCACGTTTCGAGGAAGATGATGAGATAAAGACGCGACCGGTGTGAAATCGAACGACCAAGCGAATACAAAGAGAGAAGAGGGAGATCGGGTTCACACGTGGCAGTGACAGGTTTGGCCGTCATTTTTTGGGGATAACGATTACAACGAACGAACCTCGTCCTCGTATGTCCTGATGCAATCACCTGATCCGTCTCAAGAAAATAAGATTCGGTTACTCTTTTTCATTTTTATAAAATATCTTTTGTGTTAATCAATGAAGTTCATCAATATTATTCCTTTATATAATTTTTTAGAGCAAAACACTGAGTTATTTGTTAATAGGGCATTTCCCGTATTAAAGAAGTAGGAAAACTTTCATCTTCTGAAGTATTTAATCCATAAGTTCAAACCAAATTGTCATAGGTATTGATCACAAAAGTTTTGTATGAACATACGCAAATACAAGGACCAATTGCTTTAGAACATATAGGACAACACAAGTTTTGAATTTCGTATTTTCATCACACCCTTGCTCATTCATAATTACGCATCCATGCTTACCTATCCATGATTATTTAACGAGAACATCTTCGTTATTCAAAATCTATGATTCACAATTTTTTATTATTGTGTCTACGACCATCTGTCCATTTACAGTTTCTCTCATATATTGGATAAATACTCGTGGATAAACTACATTTAGATACTTTGGAATGGACATACACAAATAAAAAACCCAACCACTTCAAAGAGAACATATAGGACAATACAAGTTCTGAACCTTGTATTTTGATCACACTCTTGCTCATCCATAATTGCGCATCCATGCTTGGTTTTAAAAAGCGCAAGGTGCACTCAAACACAACTCTTCAACATAGCGTATGCTTTTCAGATGCTTGAGAAGAATACTAAGGATAAGATTATTTTCTAGGAACCTAATATATGTAATTATTTTCTATGAACCTAATCTATCTAATTATTTTCGTAAAGATCTTCATATCTAATGAAGAAGATCTTCCTTGTTAGTAGGATCTAGAATTCATTTCCGCTCATAGTTGATCCATTTCTCCATCATATCTATCCATTCCAATATCTATTGGATGGATCTCGAACCTAGATTTTCTTGGCGGATCTATCTTCTTCTCTAATGTTTTGAACATGGGATGGAATTGAAAGTAGCCAGAGAAGAACTAGAGAGAAATGAAAAAGGAATAGAGAAGATAGGGTCGAGGAATATGGCTTAAGATGAGAACATCATAAAAGCGCGCCTTTTTCCCGCTTCACGCTTTTGGGAAAGCACACCGATGCACACATAGGCGCGCACTTTTGGGATAGACATGCACCTTGCGTACTAAGGGCACAATAGTGATATATGCGTGCACCTTGCGCCTTAGACTGCTTTTTAAAACCAAGTTACCCATCCATGATTACTTCATGAGAACACATTCGTTATTCAAAATCTATGATTCATAACCTTTTTATCATTGTGTCCACGACCATACGTCCACTTAAAGTTTCTCTCATACACTGGATAAATACTCATGAATGCACTACATGTGGATACTTAAGAATGGACATACGCAAACAAAAAGCCCAATCGCGCGCTTCAAAGAGAACATATAGGATAACACAAGTTCTGAATCTCGTATTTTGATCACTCCCTTGCTCATCTATAATTACACATATTTTAATCAACCAACAAATCACCATATCCACCACATAAGTATTATCTTTCAATATTTCTGTTAAATGTTCATAGCAATCTGTCCACGACAACCTGTCCATTGTAACCTGATTTTTTGATTGAAGGAATCACAAAATTACAATGTTTCCCTCGTCTTCTTCTTTGGCTCCACAACATTGTAACCTAGTTTCCAGCAGTCTTTCATTTTATTTTCACAATTATTGTCAGACTCACTTGTTTTTGTATGATTTTTTACCCCATTATGATAGATCTACATTCTAATCTTTAATTTCAAACTTAGTTTGTCGTGTCGTCGATTAACTCCGGCAGCAATCCAGAAAACTCAGATGATTCAATATAATTTCATATATACAAACCTATTTCTCCACATAAACATATCCACGGGAACCTCACATATCAACCTCACACTTAGAAGAATGACATATATCCACAACATGTCTATAAAGGCGCACTGTCAACAGAAACCTGTCCACAATAACCTGATTTTTCGCTTGACAGGATCAAAAATTACAATTTTGCCTTCATCTTCTTCTTTGGCTCTGCAACATTCTAACCTAGTTTTCAGCTACATTTTATTTTATTTTTGCAATTATTATCGGATTTACTTGTTTTTGTATGGTTTTTTACCCAATTATTATGGGTCGACAATCTAATCATCAATTTCGAACTTTAAAACCATTAAAAGGTGAATAATTAAAAAAAATCTGATATGTTGGCTGAAGTATCTCAATTCGTGGTGGTTGGAAACCACTGAACTTTCACCACCGATTTAAATCTGTGTTGATTGAAACTTTCCACTATCAAGTTGGTAGATGAAAAAAAAATAATTTGTCGCAATCGCTGGATGAAGAGAAAATAATTTATCGTTGTCGCTGGATGAATTTGTTTTTTGGAAAAATACCATAATTTTTTTTTTATTATTTTATTATTGTGGCCATAATTTGTTTTTATTGTCAAAAAATAAAAAGTGTTAGAAAAGTATAGTATTGTAATTGCATATTAAGAAAGTGCTTAAATTGCTGAAAATATTTATTTTTGTAATAATAGTTTTAGAAAGTGCTTCTGAGCATAATAAACTTACAAAACACTATATACTAAATTTATTTATTTTTTTAGCGCAAAACACTATATACTAAATGGTTGGCACGTGGGCATGTAAATTTTGATAAAAACTAACTAATAATAATATTAATTATTTATACTAAACAAATGATTAGCCTAATACATTTATAAAAAGTTTAAGTTTATGAAAAAAATATTTTAATAAGTTTGAAAATTTTATATAGTAAAAATAAAATAAATACAAAATTTAAAATATTTTAAAGAAAAAACATAATTTTTTCACATTATTATATATTTTTTCTCTCGTATTGTCATTTTCCATGCCATTTAAGATTCATAAATTTCCTTAAATAATTGTAATACATTAAAATATAATATAAATTTTTATTATTTATTGGTAATTGAACACGATGAGATTATAATAAAAGTTAAAAAAAAATTTCCAAAAATTTGATTCCAAAAAGTTTCGACATAAACATGAACTTGTAAATATTTCACCAAAAAGTTTACTTAAAATTAAGATTGCAAAAACCTCCCATCAAAAATCTGATTCCGCAAATTTTCTTCCAAAAAAGTGAATTGGTAACTTTCTTACCAAAAAAATTACATTAAAAAAATGATTACAAAACATTTTATCCAAAATTTTAATTTTGTGATTTTTCCACCAAAAAGTAAATCGATAAACAATTATTGCCAAATAATTTACATTGAAAATGTGATTCTAAAATCTCCCCTAAATAAGTAAACTCGTAAATCTTCCGCCAAAAGACTTACATAAGAATTTGTTTTCAAAAAATTCCGTGAAAACTCGATTCCAGAAATTTTCTGCTAAAAATGTGAATTTGTAACTTTACCACCAAAACATGTAAGTCAAAAAGATGATTCAAAACTTTACATTGAAAATATGATTCCAAAAACTTTCAGTCATAAATTTCGCGTCGAAAATGAGACTTCAAAAATGTTTTTGTCAAAAATTCAATTTAGCAAATTTTCCGCCAACAAATTCTGAATCCATAAATTTCTCTTCAAAAAAATACGTTAAAATGTGATTTCAAAAAAATTCCGTGATAACTCGATTCCAAAAATTTTCTGCCGAAAACGTGAATTTGTAACTTTACCACCAAAACATGTAAGTCAAAAAGATGATTCAAAAATTTACATTAAAAATATGATTCTAAAAACTTTTATCCATAAATTTCGCGTCGAAAATGAGATTTCAAAAATGCTCTTGTCAAAAATTCAATTTTGTGAACTTTCCGCCAAAAAATTCTGAATCCATAAATTTCTCTTCAAAAAATTATGTTAAAATGTGATTTCAAAAACCTTTCGTCAAAATTAGTTGGCAATTTTTTCACCAAATATTTTAATTTGTAAATTATGTATCAAAAATTCTACATTGAAGATGAAATATGATTTCAAAAGTTTTATGTTCATAATGATCTTATAACTTTCCGTTAGAAAAGTGCATATGTTAATTTTCCGCCAAAGAAATGAGTGCACAAATTGTCCACAAAAATAACTTTGTAATGTGATTTTAAATAGTTTTCATTGATAATTTGCTTTCGTGAAATTTTTGCCAAAAGTTATGGATCCTTAATTATTCTGTCAAAAATGTGATATCAAAATCTCTCTGGTAAAATAGGCTGTCAATACTTTCCTACTAAATATTTGAAATCTGTAAATTTTCTAGATAAAAGTTTTGTGTCGAAAATGTGATTTCAAATCTGTTTGACAAAAATCCTATTTCTCAAAATTTCTGCCAAAAAATTGAGTAAGTAAATTTTAAATAAAAAAATTAACATCAAAATTTATTTATAGATTAAATATCATACCACAAGCCATGTACACTATAAATGGACATGACACAATTACATCATCAGTATACATCATCATTTCCACGTCATATTTCAAATTTTCAAACTAAACATACTTACTAATAAAATTGAAACAAGTAAGCGTTTTTGATTAAACTACCTTATAAATTAAGAGGAAATGCTCTAAAATGACCCACTTTGAGAAAATATTATCAAACATAGACTATTTTTTACAATCAGTGCTGCCTTTCTACCTATTTATATTTAGTTATATTTAGTAATTAGATTTACTTATTAAAATGGTTATTTACCATTTAATCTTGGCCAGTAGTACAGCCTTGCAATGTCGCTGCTGAAAAGCAGAGGCTACGCAGACTAACACAAAAAGAAGAAGTATGGCAGATGAGAGGCACACCTAGGTTAGATGATTTAAATTTGCAGACCACTTCCTTTATAAGTGGGGGCTATTAGGGTTTTGTAAAGAAACGGATTTTGACAATATTTCTTGTATAATTGGGGATTATTGGTTTATGTAAAGAAAACAATGTGGAGACGTTAGACAGGCGTCTTGCGGATTGATGGCGAACATATATTCCTCCCACATGTGAGAAGTAGTGGCTGAGCTGACTAACTTCACCTTTGACTACTATTATATCCTGTGACGATTTGGCCAGTTGAACTCAATCATGACGTACCGTAGTTTCTCTCAGGTAAATGCCGTAAAATTGTTATATTGACACCAGATGAACTCAGGTTGTGGGACAAGAAAACAAGAAGACGAGGGTATCCCATGTTTGACGAGACGC